GATTTTTACTATCCAAGTTGATGTTCTGCAAGGAATTTAACATTTTATTATGGTTTACGCGATCAAATGCCTTTTCAAAGTCTACAAAACATAGAAAGACATCCTTTTGTTGGTCGTAACACTTCTGCAGCAGTACTTGTAATGAAAACAAGGCCGCTCTGGTCCCCATTCCGGCTCTGAATCCAAATTGATCGTATCCAACTTCTTTTTCACACCTTTTGTATACCCTATTGTGAAGTATTTTTAATAGAATTTTAAGCACTTGGCTCATAAGACTTATTAATCTAAAATCTGCGCATCGCCTGGAGTTAGCTTGTTTTGGAATGGGAATAAAAATAGATTCTAACCATTCCTCTGGTATTTCCCCAGTATCGTAGATTGTATTCAACAAAATTACTAACAAATCAATGTTATTACTTTCGATCAATTTAAGTATTTCAGGATAAACTTCATCAGGTCCAGGGCTTTTGTTGGTCTTTAATTGTTTAATAGCATATTCCACTTCGACTTTTAGAATTGGTGGGCTTTCAGTAATATACATTATTTATTGTAATGTCTATTCTTTCATCTCGGAACAGCTGTTGTATAAATTTTTCCCTGCTGTTGTATAAATAAAAAAAAAAAATTATCACTCTATTTATTGTAAAACAATTTTTTTCTTATTATTTATATTTTAGTTTGACTTAGCATTTTATCACATTGTCGATTTGAAAAAGAATTACTCTATAATATATAAATACAAAAGATCAAATTGTTCGATTTTTGATTTGGTGTGCGTTTCGATAATCATTATTAATTTTGGTCATTTCGGACATTGTAGAGTTTGGGGGTACAATGCTAGAAGTGGACAATAGTTTCCGTACAATGCTAGGATTGTCCAATTTCGGGCTTTGCTCATAACATATATAACAAACGTATAGAAACAGTACAAAGATTCCAGTATTTCAGTTGCTGGATAGCAAACGATCTTGACCACGAGGTCAAAATACGTGCTCGTATAGAATATGCTAGGTCCGCATTTCAACGAACAAAATCCCTACATTATCGTTGGATATCCGATACCAATTTGTAAAAATGTTTATTTATTCCACATTACTATACGGAGTGAAAACATGGACTCTCGGAGTTACAAGTATGTGGCGCATAGAAGCCTTTGAGATGTGGGTTTTTCGAAGGATGCTGAAGATCTCTTGGACAGAGCACGTGACCAACAACGAGGTGCTAAGAAGAATGGGTACTGAGAGAGAACTCCTAAATATTGTAAAAAACAGAAAAACGAGTTATCTAGGACATAAAATAGAATATAATATTCTTTATTAATCTTATCAGATCACATTGTGATATAGGACAAGTCATATAGTACATAAAGCATGAATAACAAGTTATATAGGACAATTACATAAAACAAAATCAATAAAATATAGATTAATATAAAAATAAAAAACGAAGATATGCAATATAGAGCGTCTCTGAACCCGTCGGTCCTTATTCTCTGTAGTCTTTTATTATGTCAAAATATTCATTTAGGTTGTAAACACATAATTGGATCAAGCATGCTTTTAATTTATTTTTGATTTTTTGAATATTGTTTTCATTTCTTATATTAAGTGGCAAATAATTATAAAATTTAGATCCTGCAAAATCAGGACTAGTTTCAAAGAGAGTTGTGGAGTGTTTACACACGCTTATCAACCTCCCGTGTCTTGTCGGGTAATTATGAAAGTCAGAGTTGAGGGTAAAATTTTGAAATTTAGTTTTGACGCGAATAATACACTTATAAATATATAAAGCATGAAAAGTCATCAGCCTGTGTTCAATAAAATATTTACGACATGATTGTCTATTATTAATGTTGAATATCAATCTAAGAATTCTCTTTTGAGTTATAAAAACTCTAGAAGAGTTTTTAGAGTTTCCCCACAAGATAACATTATAGGCCATATATGAATAAACTAATGCGTAATACACACTTATCAATTGATTGGTGTTAAATAGAGTTTTCAACTGAAGGATCGCATAGTAACCCTTATTCATTGTTTTGCAGACTTTAGTGACATTTTCATCCCATGTTATATTACTTTCTAGAATGCTACCAAGAAATAATGTTGTATCACTAAAAGGTATTTGCTCAGAACTAACTGTGATTTTATAACCATGGGATGGCTTAAAGCGCGAGTAGAACTGCATACAAATAGTTTTCTTTGCATTTACCATTAAAGAGTTCCTTTTACACCAGGTTGTAAATTCCTGTGCTACTAAGTTCATTTTTGATATGAGTTCGACTTCATTTGACTCGTCAACTACAATTGTTGAATCATCTGGATAAAGAACTATATGGTCTGCAGTTAAAAAATGTGTCAAATCATTGACATATAAAAGAAATATCAGAGGTCCCAATACGGAGTCTTGCGGTACACCTCGATCAAGATTAATAACAGATGACTTCTTATTATCGACTTTTACTAGGAATTTACGATGTTGTAAGTATGACCTTAACCAGTTCAAGAAATAACCCCGAAAACCAAGGGCTTTTAATTTATGCAGTATAATTTCAATGTCGATAGAGTCAAAAGCCTTAGTTAAGTCAAAAAAGAGTGCACCCACATACCTTTTTCGATCCAAAGCAGCGTGGATATAATTAAATAATGAAATAGAAGCACTCTCTGTAGATTTATTAGGCAGAAACCCATGCTGGCATTTATTTAAGATATCATATTTATTCAGAAAATTTAACATTTTACTATAAATACACTTTTCGATAATCTTAGAGAGTACACTTGTTACGGTGATTGGCCTGTAATTATCAACCAAACATGGATCTCCCTTTTTAAAAATTGGACTGACTACTCCCGTTTTAAGGTCACTTGGAAACTTGCCATCCTTGACAGATAGGTTGATGATGTGAGACAAAACAGGAGATATATATGAAGAAATGTATTTAATTATTTTAGTGGGGATTTGATCAATACCTACTGAGCTGGTATAGTTTAAGGAAGATATAACATTCTCAATATCAAATGGTGAGACTTCAGAATAAAAGAATGTGTTGTTAATTGTTATAGTTGTGAAATCGTTAAAGGTATAGTTATTGAAATGTTTTAATAACATGTGTTTGATTGATGTACAAAAATACTTACTAAATTTGTTTGCTATGTGTTCTGGATGTATTAATCATTTATTATTATCAGTAATACTCCACTCACAATTGTTTTTATTTTTACCAGTTTGACGATTCACAGTTTTCCATATCTCCTTCCTTCTTTTATTATTATTTTGATTATGTAATTAACTTTGATATGATGCTTTTTTTATATCCTTTACCTTATGAATAAAGTTGGCCTTTTGTATTTTATAGTTATACATTAAATCTGAATTACCACTAACATTTGCTTTCAGCTTTTTACTAATCTGAAGAATTTCAGTATTGATCCAGTTTCTGTTGGTATTAGTAGTTTTGCGTTTTGAGATTAAAGGACATGTTGTATCAATATGATAGGAGACAGAGTTCAAAAAAGCTCTATATGCATCATCTACATCATTTGAATATGTATAAACATTTTCGAAATTCTCAGAATCAAGACTCAACAAAAGATTAGACAAACAATTCTTTGATAAGTTTCTATAAGTAGCTATCTGGCATGCAGCAGTATTGTTACTCTCAAATATGTTTAAACTAAAATGAAGTCCTAGATGATTACCTAAATTGTAGTTCACGACAACCTCATTGTATAATTGAGGAATATTGTTAAGAAAATAATCTAGTTTCTATCGTGAAATTACACCGTTTTTATTTGTAAATATTCTAGTTGGTTCAGCATTTTTACAGTTAAGTCCAAAACTAATCATAAAATCCTTCAATATAGATTTTTGCCTTGACTCTTTAAGATAATCGATGTTAAGATCACCACAAAGAATAATACAATCATATTTAACGTAACAAATATTAAATATATAATATAATTTATGTATAAAAATATCAATATCCCCATTAGGGGAGCGATACACATTGAGTAAACAAAATTTTTTGAGTCACATCTAAAACTAATACAACAGCACTCAAAGTTAAAATCTTGACAGATGTTCGTGAGAAAACTTGGAATATTAAATTTAAAATTACCCTTTACAAATATAAGTACACCACCATGTATATGATCACTTCAATTATAGTACGAACCTAAGAGATAATTTGGAAGATATAAGGAATTTATATTGTTGTCACTACACCATGACTCGGTTATACACAGCAAATCCGGACTTTCGGTTTTAAGCAATAATTCGATAAGACTTATTTTGTTTATAATAGATTGTGAATTATTACATATGATCTCTAATTTGGTGCTGCCTCCAAGCTTATTTGTAGCATTTAGATTGTCCAATTCGGGACTCGTAACAATCATTTCTGATTTTAATGGGGACCGCGGCTGGTAAAATTCTTGTATTTGAAGTTAAAACGGCGGACCACTGAACCCTCAGGCCAGATGCTGGGGTTGAAGACTTCATCTTTGTAATCTAATGGATATGAAACTTTGAAACTAGCCTGGTACTCGGTAACCTTTATCTTTTTGCAGTAGAAACTGACATTTGGAGCATTTACCTTTAGATAATTAGTCAAGTCTTCGGTTGTCGTTTCAGGATGGAGTTGATAAACACTTAAAAATCCAAGTTTTGGAACTGTCTTCACATATTTACAAAGGAGAAAAATACAACTTCCTACGACTTATAAAGGAGGAGAAAGTGGAAGGAATAATAGGCCAAAGAAGAAGAAAATGATACTGGTTAAAGTATGTAAGAGACTGGACAGGCATGGACACACAATCGATACTAAGAACAGCTCAAGATAGAATGAAATTTGCTGTAGTTATAGCCAAACTTCAGTAATGGAAAAGGCACCTTAAGAAAAAGAATTATCAAGTTGGTAATGTATTGATAATATACTTAGTATACGTAATCGATGTTAAAATAAACTTTCAGCATATTTTATGCAATTTAATAATACGTACGAGATATTTTGGAATTCTGCATCTTCCGGTTCCTCTTGAATCGTGGTGTTAATTTTTTCAGCACTAGTGTCATAACTCTCGCCCTAAAAATAGAAAGTTTTAATAAACCAATATGTACTATAATCCCATTAAACAAATAATTAACAAAATTATCAAACTTTATGTACAAAGTGGACTAAAAGTCTGGAAACGCACAATTATTTCTTAAATGGGTGGTCCGAATTATACAAAAACAGGGATAGTAATAACTATTTTGCAATATGAAGCAAGCAATATCATTAGGCAAATAGCAGTAAACAACGGATACAACGAATAAACAATTAATACAATGTTATATCATAAACTACACAAGAAAGCTTTAAATTAAAAAAAAAACAGTACCTTCTGCTCAATTACATATATAGGCAAAATATTAACAAAAATAGCCAAACATATAAAAAAGAAAGCAATAACACCAGCTTTCCTAACAAATAACAACCTAGCAAATATATCAAAAACAACAAGAGCCAAAATAAAAAAAACTTACAAAGCACGTGGTGTTCGTGTGTATTGAGGTATAAAAAAAAGCTTAAAATTTTTTATTATAAAGAAGATCTTTTCGGAATTGTATCATTCCATCATCATTTTAATAAAAAGTTGTTAAAAAACATTGTGTGGCCACATAAAAAACATTCCATGGACATCTGGATTATTACCTGGTAATGTAAGTCAATAAAACCTCACCAACTACAGGGGTTCATATAAGATGCCCCCAGTTTCATTTTTTAATATCACACAATTTAAGAGTCTATTGCATTTACCTGAATAAATAACATGAAGATTATTTTTAAATCTAGATGTCCATCGAATGTTTTTTATGTGGCCACACAATGTTTTTTAACAACTTTTTATTAAACTGATGATGGAATGATACAATTCCGAAAAGATCTTCTTTATAATAAAAAATTTTAAGCTTTTAAGAAGCGCTTTTTTTATACCTCAATACACACGAACACCACGTGCTTTGTATTCAACAGGTATACTAGCCACTCCTGGATATCTCCACTTCATGGTTTGTTCCAGTTTCACTTAAAAAAAAAAACTTAGACAGTTGTGTGTACAACTTAAATTTGGCGACTGCGCAAAAACTTACATTGGTCAAACTGGTAGAAACTTTAATAAACGAATAGCAGAACATAAAAGGGCTTTCAATAATAGTAAAACAGATTCTACATACGCACTTCACCTTCTAGATCATAATCATTCTTTTAATGACGAATTAAAAATTCTTCATATTCAAAATAAAGGCCTTAAGCTATCCTTGTTAGAATCTATGAAAATCAACAAATTAAAAAACACAGATATAATTCTGAATGACCAACTTGAGAAAAACAGTTCTCCCCTCCTCAATCTATTTCATTAGAGACTATAAAGTGTAAACGCATGCCAAAAATAGATCACTTGAAAAAGGCAATCAGCCGAAACAGCTGGTGATTACTAGAGTGTAGACAGATACTTCGTACGACTTCGCTTCGTCTCGTTCTTCTTCAGTTCTGTGTCAGTTTTTCGCATCGAAATCAAAGAGTCCGAAGTTCGAATACGAAGTGACAAACTACATTACTATACTACACGAGTATATACACGTGTACTATACGTACACGAGTACGAGGTGACGAGAGTCACCTCACCTCACCTCGATTTACTTTACTTCGACACTTCGATCGAGAGTGTAGACAGCGTTTAAGACAACAAAATAATAATAATATCAGATAAATCAGAGCAAAACTCTTCCAAAAGAAAAAAAGAAGGAAAATATTGAAGCAAATAAAATATTTTATATCAATAATCGGTAAAAAAGCAAAATCAAATTTATATCATTGAAAAAAATATAAAAATATAAATTATAATAAATAGAAGTCAACAAATATGAATTATATTTATATAGATACGCCAACCTCTAGAGAAAAGGGCAAACATGAAAAAACCATAATAGTTTTACAATACACTTACCTCTTGGTCAATAAAAACCTTCAAATCATCCAAATTTGGCATCGATATACTATTTTTGCGTCTCATTGGAGGTCTAATTGTATCTCTTTGTATCGTGTCATCAGTCTTTTCTTTGTCTAAGTTGCCATTTCTACTTTTCGAATCCATTTCTGAGTCAATTACATTAAGGTTTTCCGAAGAAGGGGCATCCAACACTATTTTTGGTATCTCTTGTGGGACCTTGTTGTACTTTAAAGCATTTCTAAATTTTTTTCGATCCATTATTTACAACGGTTAAAACTAAAACGAAAAAATCCATCGGTGAATTTGTTAATGAGTTTCTATATTATTATTAGGTAATAAAATATCTAAAGCACATTTCACCAGAATATTAATGACTAATAATGAGAAAATAATATATTGCTACAAATAAAAACAACCACAATATTATTTAAATAAAAATTTAATAGTATATTACGCAAGAAATTTGAATAAATAAAATTTTAAAGTAATTATGATTTCAATGGGAATAAGCCACAATTAAAGGTTAAAGTAAAATAGTAATTACTTTAAAATGCCACAAGAAAATAGCTTCAGAACAATAAATAATTTTTTTTAATCCTTTATAAAAGGATATAATATGTATTTAATATGTATATAACTAAAAATACCCTTTCAGGCTACATCATAGTACGTTCTTGGACTAAATAATTTCAGAGTTTTATGTTTAAATACTAAGAGGAAGCTCATGGATAAATAAAATTCAAAAATAAAATATAACCGTATATTTCGAAAGAAAGGATTCTGGTGCCCATTGAGTGTTACCGAATTTTCATTTATCAGCTATACGGGAAAAAATCTATCTCATTAGCTTTCTTCGGTCCATCTTTGGACATAGGCCTCCCCAATCCTTTTCCATTCTTCTCTGTCTGTCGCTACAGTCATCCACCTAGAGCCCACGTGCTTGTTGATATCATCTGCCCATCTCATTTGGGGCCTTCCCCTGCTTCGTGTATATTCCCATGGTCTCCAACTTATGAATTTTGTTCCATCGGTCTTCTTTTTGTCTTATATTGTGTCCGGCAAATCTCCATTTTAATTTTTCAACTTCTTGTCTAACATCCCTCACTTTTGTTTTCTCTCTTATCCACTCATTTTTCTTTTTATCCATTAGTCTTATGTGCAACATTTGTCTTTCCATTGCTCTTTGGGTTTTTATGATTTTGTCCATGTTTGCTTTTGTAAATGTCCACGTTTGGGAACCATAAGTAAGAACAGGGAGTACGCATTGATTGTATACTTTGGTCTTAAGATGCTGTGGATATCTTTTGTTTTTAAGAATGTAGCTTAGTTTGCCAAATGCCGCCCATGCCAGTCTAACTCGTCTCTTTATCTCTGCTGTTTGGTTCTCTTTGTTAAGTTTTATAGTTTCACCAAGATATATATAATCCTGAACTTTTTCTATTTCATCTTGTCCGATTCTCATTGTGATGTCTTCATTTGTATTTGGTATGGTTTTGGTCTTACTGTAATTCATATTAAGGCCTATCTTTCCAGCATCTACGTCCAGTTCTTTCATCATTTCAAATAATTCTTCTGTTTTATCAGTTATCAATCCGATATCATCAGCGTATCTTAGATGGTTCAAGCGTTGTCCACAAATTCTTTTTCTTCCCGTTCTAATCTTTTAAAAGTATCTTCAAGAGCCTGATTGAACAGTTTCGGTGATATTCGGTATATCACGCTGTCTCACGCCTCTATTTATTTGTATTGATTTTGTTCCTTCATATACTTTAATTGTTGTTTTGGCTTCCTTATATATATATATATATATATATATATATATTGGCTATTAGTTTCGTATATCTGTGGTAAATTCTGCTGGTAATCAAAGAATTTCACTGCCCAATGTATGACTCTGTCGAAAGCCTTTTCGAAATCTAAAAACGCCATATATAGAGGAATGTGGTATTCATTTGCTCGTTCCATAAGTAATTTCATACTTAGTAAATGGTCACTTGTGCTGAATCCCTTTCTAAAACCAGTTTGTTCTTTCGACTGGTATCCATCGAATTTTGTCGTCAATCTATTGGTTAAAATTTTTGTTAGGAGTTTATACATTACATTGAGGAGTGTTATAACACGGTAGTTTTTTATATCTGCTTTATCCCCTTTCTTGTGTAGGATAATGATTATTGATTCCTTCCAGTTGTTTGGGATTCTTTTTTCTTTTAATATCTTGTTAAAAAAGGGATGTAGAGTATTAATTATCACTTTTCCACCATATTTCATCATCTCTGCAGTTATTCCATCTTTTCCAGGCGATTTGTTGTTTTTCATTTCTTTCAATGCCTTCTTTATTTCTGATTTGCTTATTTCTGGATGTAGCTCTGAGTTGACATTTTTTATTTTAACTTTAAGTTGGTTTTTAATTTCTTCTGGTGGTTCCTTTTTTGTTTTATATAATTCTGAGTAGAAATCGTGGATTATATTTATGATGTCATCTTTAAAGTTTCTTTCTACTCCATTTACATATTTTATTTTGTTTATTTCAAACATACCTAATTTAGACCTTAAGCATTTCATATTTTTGTTGTTCTGTATTACTTCTTCTATTTGTATTTCTTGTTCTTTTCTCTTATTTTTTTATCATTCTGCTTATTGTTTTATTGATTTCTACATTTTATATAGATTTCCTTTTGCCTCCTTCGTTAAGCTTCCTTCTTTTATCCATAAGCTTCTTTGTTCCTGTTAATATATAGTTGTTCTTTTTTAGATCCTTTTTTGCTATTTCTTTTCCTGATAAAATCATTGTTGCTGTAAGTATGTTGTCTATTTCGTCTATATCTTTATCATCACTGTCTAATTTTTGGGTAAGTTGTTCTTTTAATAGGTCTTTTCATATCTCTTATTTTATAAAAGGAGTTCATTGCGTATAGATGCTTTTCTTCTAGGTAGTTTATCAAAGTATCACCTCTATCATTTCTCTGACCATACCCGAAATCAGCTATTTTAGTTTTTTCTTTGTTTAGTTTTCTACCCAGTTTGGCATTGAAATCTCCAATTACTAGTGTAAGACGATTTTTATATTCTTCCATAGCCTTTGATATATCTTTATAACATAGTTCGATATTTTCTTCATCATAAGCTGTCGTGGGGGCATATACCTGGATAACTTTAATTGAAGCTCTTCTTATTGTAAGTATGACATGGGCGACACGATCTGATATACCTTTGATAATTTGGACATGCTTACTTATAGCTTTATTTATTATAAATCCTACTCCAAATTTACTATTAATTTCATTTCCTTTATGATATAGTAGATTACCGGATTTTAGCTGTATTCGGTTTTCTTCTTTTCGTCGAGTTTCTGATAGGCCTATGATATCCCATTTTATGTTTGTTAATTCTTCTTCCAGTTCATGTACTTTTTCATCTGTGGACATTGATCTAATATTGTATGTCCCTACTGACAGGTTGACGGATTTTTTTGATTTATGTTGTGCTCGTCTTAGTGGGTTTTTGTTTTTATCAATCAAAAGCGAATTATTGTCTCCCCCAGATACCGTGAGGCAGACCTTTGAGGTGTGGCATTCAGAAATTTTCTTACCCACCTGGGGACCATTTCCTTTTGTTTTATTATTCGCCATAATAAAAGTGGGGGGGGGGAGATAGTTAAAACACCACGCTTGCCAGGCGGGTTGGTGAGTGAGTTATATCATGGGAAACAATATATTGGGAAAGAAGAAGAAGGTTTGATTATTTGGGGAGTCTAAGGTCTTTTAGTAGTGAAGGGAAGAACTTGTATTATTTGGATGAAGCTTGGTTCGACACCCACGATATAGTTAATGCTTTATTACTCTCTGCTAAGAGTGTAAGTGATTGTTGCTTAGATAATCATCAAGACATGGACAGTACTTTGAAAAGTGGTTTGAGCAGTAATTACTATCTAAATTAAAAAGAAATAGCGTTCTTATTTTGGATAATGATCCATATCATTGTAATCTAAACAGTAAAATTCCAAACACTAATTCAAACGAAGCTGAAATTCAAGAAATTTTATCAAAACATGAAATATGTTATCGACAGGCTAGCTAAGAATTATGGCCATAAAGTATTAACATTACCTCCTCCTTACTTTTTACTGAATCCAATAGAATTGTGGTCTCAATTAAAAAGTAATGTGACGAAAAATAATAAGTGTCCTAAATCTTGTTCGACTGTTGTAGGTTTAATTAGGACCAAATGTAATAATATTTCAGCAGCTAATTGGAAAAAATGTATAGAGCATGTCAAAAAACTAGAAAAGAAATACTTACAATTCCAAAACATTATAAGTAGAATAGTTATATATTTAAACGAATTCGATATTGATTCGGATTTAAATGTATACAGAGTTTAAAATAATTATTTTTGAATTTTTTTACTACGCTAAATGTATATTTTAATATAAAAGTATTACTTATATGTATTTTTCTTTTACTTTGTGGGATTGCCGTAGTTTTGATAAAGTGTATTAATATATAAGTCTGACTCAGTATACAACTATACCTAGAAGATTAAATCCGAAATACCTTGCAAAAGTCATGTCTGTTGAAGAATCCACTATAATTTTGATTTTTAGAATACCTACAAAATTTTCACCGTTATATCTTTAAAAACTTTGCGCAATCAAAAATAGTCAAACGCAACGAAATGTTTTTTACTGAGTATATTAAAAACAATAAACCTTTAGAAGTACAAATATCTAATAAATATATTAAATTAGTAACCATAGATGGTTTACAGCAATAGAATATAAAGTTAACAATGGTATGACAGTTGTTACTTTTTTCTATAAAAAATGGATTTGTTTCAGCAAATAATCGAAATCAATGACTTTAGCTTGTTATGAAAATGAAAATTGTTATACTTTTTGTTTCCGTTCTTTGTTCAATTTGGTTGTTGCAAAGCGTAACTTACGTAAACGTGACCTCGCATAAATTTTTAATTATCTTTGATTTCATTATAATGGACTAACCATTTACTATTATACAAAGAGGTGCAGTGTAGTCACTGAATATTCCAAACAAAATTAAAAATCATAAAAAGTGTTTTATTAAACACCACAATATAAGGAACATAACAACTAAATTAAAAAATGTTTAAGCACTGTATTTTATACATGTCCTGAAATTGACAGTGTTGGATTTTGGTAGGTTTCATCATCATCATTGGTGCTACAGCCCTATAAAAGAGCCTCGACCTTCCAAGTCTACTACTCCAGTCAGTTCTATCCA